TGAGGACAGGGTATCTCCTAAAATACACCACCATATACTCATTTCATGAAGCCACATCAGCCAACAGCCATTATTTTTGTTGGGCTCAGATTACTGCAGCAATCCACAAGCAGGCTGATGCCACTCTTGGGCAGAAAGCTATTCCTCATTTCCTTTTCTTGTTCTCCTTTTCTGTAGTAGAGCAGGCCCAGTGGCTACTGCTGTTTAACAGATGTGATATTTTAGCAGCTGTATTACTTTGTAATAGATCAGGAATCAGTTCTAAGACCTGACACTAGCACATACGTTACTGGCACATTTTTAAAGAGCGCTGTTTCTGTATTTTCAATTTACGTTTGATTTTGAGAGCAGGTGGGCTGCTAAGGATGATAGTTGTGGTTTACCACTTTTCACCTAGCTTTCCCAGAAAATGATCACTCAGTTGAGTTTTTCCCCACCTCACTATCTTCTCATGAAAAAAAAATATTGCTGTCAACCCTATTTTACAGGTGACAGTGTTAAGGGATAAGGAATAACATAGCAAGTCAGAGGCCGAACAGAAAGTATTTAATTATGAGCTCTCTCATTTAGACCCATTTTTTATGTAACGAGGCAGCGTTCTGCCTGTTGAGACGTGGAATACAAAACCTCCAGCTTTCACACCTGAAATGGACATTCTGGCAGCTGACTTGGGATGAGATTGCTTACTTTTACAGCTACTTCTGGGCTCATTCCACAAGCTAAAGGCATAAAGGCTGAATTAATGGCCATTATTTGAGGCAAGCTCTAAGCGTACACCATGAGGAATATTAGCAGAGCAAAACTTTGAAATTTATAGCATCTTGATGCTTGTAACTTCTACATTTGCCACTCGCTTCCCTATCCTAATCTTTGCTCACCAGTTTTATTGGGGAATACTGTCCCAATTTATGAACCACAATCTCTCTGTAATAAGCAGACTGGATATGTCTGCGTCAGAAAATTATGCTTTTTTGACTATATCATTGTAGCTTAAGTAGTACAACTCCCCTAGGGTAACGACAATTATACCAGTGTAAAAGTGCATATCCAAATATAGCTGAGTCCCACATGGGAAGTTACCTTTATACCAGTAATAACTAGGTCCACACTGAGGCACAGATTTATATCCCTAACCTTAGGAACCCGAGGTGACCAAAACAGGAATATGGTTATTTTATAGTTCACATATATTTCAAGGAGCTATATAAAACCTTTAGGGATGGAGTTGGCCCACTTGAGGTGTGATTTATTGACCAGAGGTGTGTGTGTGTGTCTCTTCATTGTCTATTCAGAGAACTTCCACTTAACTAAAAAAAGCATTCATCTGAAGTTTCTAAACTAAGTTAAAGGAATTTAGTCAAAGGATTTCATCAAATAGATGGGGAAGTTTAACAATTAGGAGTGGTGTAGGATGGTTTGAATGCAGCACCGCAAATCCTAGCCCTAGTTTTGAGATTTGGGGAGGTGCAGTGAAAAAGAAATTGAGTAGATCTTTTGAACTAATGAAACAGATGAAGTAGAATCTTCTTTTCCTTGAATAGCAATAACTATGACTGACAAATTTCTGACTCTTTAGAGACACTTAGGAATCTAAAACACAGAGAATCTCCTGCCACAAAAGGTCACTGCTGCTGTGCACTTGGAGCTATTAAGCTTCTGGAGGAATGGCTGTAGGCATATGGTTACCTCATAGAGACATTCTACTTCTGTGCCTGCAATGACCATTTACCAGTTTTGACACTGGTAGTTAACTGGACTATCAGTCCAGTCCACCTCCAGCTCTTATCTGTCCTACACAGTATCAGTGACAAAGTCTGCATATTTCTTCTCTCTTTCTTCTCCTTTTGCCTCTTTATCCTGTAAGTGACATGCTAGTTGGTTAAATAAATGCTTTGTTCCTGTTTCCAAGCTTCCGTTTATTCTCACTTAGCCTAATCTTGGGCATGAGTACATGTCTGAGCTCTGCAAGAACAAAAAACCCACCCATTGCTTATCAAGAAGTTACTACTCTGGTGGTAAGATTTTCTTGAATTCTTGCTTTCTTAAGCAATCTGTTGTATCTTACCTCTATTTAAAGATCCACGGTAAAGGCTGAATTGTTTTCCACAGTGAGATGGCTACAGCACCAAGAACTAACAGAATCCAGAGTGATTCTGAGTGATATGCACTTGAGTGCATATATACAAAATAGCTGATAGAGACTAAAGAAAACCCACACTTTTGGAGGGTGCTTTTTATTCTTCAATCACCATTCCTTCATGAGTTGCTTTTGCTCAAGCAGTTAAGGTGCAAAGTGCGAGATTTAATTATGAGATCTGATTTGATATCCCAAAAACAGTTTCATTTTAAAAGATGGCCACTGTTTCTTTAGTATTTGTCTCTGCAGTATATATTTGTCTTGAGTATTAATTTCTACTATAAACTGCATGATCAAACTCACTGTCACGAAGAGTGGTAAATGTTCACCTTTACATTTCTTTGCTTTGAGATGGATTGTTTTGATAGCTTTGGATAGCTTTGTTATGTCAGCAGGGCATGATCATAGTCTTTTTCTGCAACTTTCTACTTTTCACCCCAAATAGGCTGTCATGGAAACTGTAACCAGCTTTAAATCAAAGCATATTTCCTAAACTCTACATATCTGTTTTCCTCTACTTTCTTCCTCCCAATTCAAAGTGCTCTCAGCCAACATGGATCGAGCCATTACCTGATGAAGAATATAAAAACAATCCAATCTGTTTCTTTTTCATCTGTCTTCAAAGCATGTATCCAAGGAAGAGAACATTGCTGCTGACCAGTAGAGCAACTGCCTCCTAAGGATTTAGTATCACTACCTGCAAGAGAACACTGACAGTCACAAGAAGGCAAACATAACAAGCTTATTTTATGTAACTTTTATAAAAAGTTTTGCACATCCATAACTCAGTTATTGGCACAGGATGCCCAGGGAGGTGGTGCAGTCACCGTGTGATGTTCCAGATCTGTGTGGATGTGGCACTGAGGGGTATGGTCAGTGGGCATGGTGGGAGTGGGCTGGCAGTTGGATCCTACTGGTCTTTTCCAAATATTTTAGAGGTCCTTTAATGATTCTCTGATTCTATAATTAGTGTGCTATTATAATAATGATAAGAAGTTTGAATATAACTGTATCTTAAATAATGTAAATGTGCATCAAGGCCTTCCTGAAAGAAGATGGTGACTATAAAAGCAAAATCCATACAAGTATGTAATATGAGTATAGCCCCAAATCACTTTTTCCCAAATCAGTTTGTCGGTTACAGCTCAGCCTCAAGCAACCACTCAGCTACTAATGTTCTGGTGCGACAGAAACAAATATTCTATATATTTTTCTAAAACAATAGATTGAATGAAAATGTTGTGCAAAACAACTCTTCTTTTTGTGTTTCTTTTTGCTGTTCAGATTTCTTGGACTGATTGTTGCAATATTCTTTCCTTTATAGATTAATACGTGATGGGACAAAATATCTTTTAATCGTATTATTCTTGTTCACTTTGTTCTGTCACTTAATACATTCTTTCTATGGCTTATGATTGAATGTGGTTATGCAGTACTTTTATAGGAAGGTGTAGAACAGATAGAAGTTATGTTTCTAGAGCTTACTGGTGTACACAACCAAAACGATACATTAGCTGCTGATGCTCTAGTAGTGTATGTAGCACTGTCATCAGAATTCTTTCACATCAAAATTTTGGAATACATCAAATCTTAGCATCCTTCCAGCCTTTCTCTTCTGTTGAAGTTTGCCTAGTTCTCGTGCCTTCTGCAATCTTTTTGCATATAAGGAGAGTCCCTCTTAATTTTCATGAGTTTATATACACTGATCTTGTAATTAAAAGTTCTGGTCAAGGTGATCTTCTTCTATTTCCTCCTGAAGGTCAGGAGATAGCAAGAAGATTGCAGTTAGAAAATTTCATTATGGTCATTCTCATTCGGGGCAAAGGAAAAAGAATAATTAGTCTGCCCTCAGGTTACATGAGAACTGCACATTTAGCAGGCCTAATCAAGAAAATGAAATACATAGCAGAGTGTGGAGATCTGGGAGATACTTACATCCAACATCAACATATTAAAAGTTCACAAGAAAGAGATGGGTGAAGAATTTGTTTCATTAAAACGCAGTAAAATGGAGCTTACTCTTAAGTCTGATGATTACAGTTGTCAATAAATTTTTACAGTGAGGGATGCTGGTTGACTTTTGTTCCATTGAGATGAGAATTTTTTGATGCTTGATGGCAGAAGGATAAGAAGAAACAAGGCATGCACTGAACATGGAAGAGAGTTAGAGGCTGAAGTGTGGAGGCAAATGTATTACAAATGAGAACTTTTTGGCTAGGGTGGATAAGATTTGTCACAACTTATTCCTTGCATTAGGAAATGATGGTTTCTCTGTCACTTCATTCCTTTTATTTGCTTCTTGGAAGATTTTAAACTCACATTACACAAATACTGCCCTCTGTGTATGAGGCAGAATGGTTAGGATTCTCCTTAGGTGATCTGTGACCTTGTCTTTGTGGATGGCAAACGTGGATTGTTTGGGACATATGAAGCTGAAAAATCTCTGGTCTTTGCAGGGCTTATGTCTTACTTGTGTTGATCACTCCTTCAGAACTCACTTTCTACCTCCTGTGCCTGATTTCTTGGCACCTGTGTCTTTGACAAGGTTGAATTTCCTGACCATCCTTTCTGTTCCCCCTCAAAAATTTATTCTTCGGCTCCACCTCCTGGCTCATGGTCTAGGGGAAAGAGGATCCTTGGGAATCACAGGGGCTCAAGAAGGGATCAGAGGTATTAATTCTAGCATATATGCCTTGTTAGTGCAGTGACGTTATAGCTGGGGCTATGCTGGCCTACTCATACTGGCTTCCAGAGACAAGTGGTGAACAATGAAGAGGTGAACAATGTCTCACAGTTTTTGCGTTTTGCTGGGCTTTTGGTTTCTCAACAGTGGCAGTTTCAATACGTAACGGAACTCACAAAAGAATCTTTCTTTCTGACTGGTTTTACTGCAGTACTTCCTCAATTCAGTGGGGGTGGGGAAGTACAGAAGACACTGACACTGAAACATTAGAAAAAAAGATCTCTGAGGCCTTGCAAAGGAGTCTTGATTCATACAGGGACAAGCACTGTGAGCAGGCTTCTCATATTCATTCAAGATCTACCTAAGAAGTAGAGGAACAGAGCTTAGCCATCTGGATTTGTGAAGCTGAAAAGCATGTCTCTTCCCCGACAGCTGCGAGAAAAGAGGTAACATGTCTGTCCTTCCTTCCTACAAGCCTCCATGTAACCTCTACGATCTGCACGTTTAATTTGGCAGCAAGCTTCGTTGATGAGTCTAACAGGCTTCTTGTTACCATAGCTGCCTGGCTATTAGGTTTCTTAGTGTTGAGCACGCTATGTAAAAAGTTGGAGTGGACTTTCTTTCTCCTTTCCTAGGAAATGTTCACGACCTGGGACAACAGTGAGTCACTATCCTCTTTATAGCCACAAACAGTTTTGCTTTCACTGGGATTTGTGACATGAGTGTTTGTAATATGACTAGTTCTATCTCTTGATCTCCATGGCCACATCCCTCTTAACAGTACGTGGTGGTATTTACGGTATTGTGGGTGGTGTTGATTCATGCCATTCTCCTTGTACAGCAAGGTATCGCAAGACTTTGCATCATTACTTCAGCCCTCCAGAAGAGCTATGTGTTGCGGAAACCTCTGCTTGGAATGTCTCATAGCAGAATAAATTAAGCTTTTCTTTTTTTTTTTTTTTCATAAGACCAGAAGACGTAAGATTACTTCAACTTGGCATTCCCTAGTGGATCATTTTACAGTTTGTTTTTTCTTCCTATCTCGCTCTTGATCCTTTTTATTTAAGTGTTAATATAAATATCACTCAAACAAGTGGTACAAGATGGAAGCAAAGGCAAATGTCTTCTGTTCGTTGAAGATTTTGTGCCAGTGACAAGGTCCCATAGGAGAAAGCACCAGACAGTTCATTTGTTTTATTGTGTGGACAATGTAGACAATAAACATTGGAGTCTGGTCACACAGCTGCTCTTTAGGTGTTCCTTCAGGGATCCCCAATCCTCTCCCTCCTTCCTGAGTGACTAAAATCATTTCTTCTTGCTTCACAGTGATTTTGACCAGCTTCCAGATGATGTACCTGTTTCAGCTAACATTGCAGATATTGAGGAGAAGAAAGGCTTTACTAATTATTATGTAAGCAAGGAGATTTATCTCTATATGTTCTCATCTCTGACTGGTTTGGTGAACCTGGTATAGCTGCTTTTTGGCATGAATAGTTCCATGCTGAAAACATCTCAGTGCTTGTGTTTTCTGAAGGGGAGACTAGTCTATCACACATTTAGTACATTTTTTTTTGCTGGATGAAACCTGACAAAGGTGTCCTCTAATACTTCTTAGTTTCTAAATTCTCACCTAATTGCTGATTTATTTCCTGTTAGAATGTTGTAACCTTGGTGAATATAGGGAGGAAAGGAATTCAGACAGTGTAGAAGGGGAGGGTATTAGCTCCATCTTCCCATGGTTCTGGCAAGTTAGGATTCTGCCATATACATGGTCTTCCATATATTTAGGTCTGACAGTGAGTCATGAAAGTGTGCACAGAAAAGGAATAGTACGAAAAGGGTGGAGATTTTCTGAAGAGGGGTTTTGCATGAGACCAGCTCAGTATGACCTCTGCAGACTGTGCTTTTTTTCCTGGAGACATTGCTCATAAAATCTTCCCACAGAAGTAAGCAGCTTTTACTTTAGAATGTAGTGATATTTTGCTGCTCAATCTCTGTGTTTCCTGATGGATCCAACTGCAATGTGACTCAGAGGTCAGTGCATGGAAATCAAGGACTCTTACAGCAAACAAGTTTGGCAACAGATAACACCATAGGAGTTTGAGGGAAGTCATTAAAAGTAAATAGTCTAAGGTGTTTTTTTATTTGTTTGTTTGCTTTTGTTTTTCATTCTATCCTTACTTGTGTTCAGATTACATAGACCAGAATTTCTGAAAATGTGTACTTCAAAGTCAAAGAGAAAAATGAATGCCTTCTACTTTGAAAACCAGTTCATTTACATTCCTGTCCAGAGATAGAGATGTACATTCTACTATTGAAAGTGTTGGCTTTGATTCCTTGGTGTCTTCATTGTATTTCAAATGACAGTATTTATATTTACCTCCTTAATACGCTTTGCTCCTCTCTGAGGGAAGGTGTGTAAGCACAAAGTGTCATCTATTTGTTTCTGGTTTTCATGTGATAGAAAGCAGCCACAGAATATGATGTACAGGAAAGTTGAACCCATACTTATACCACGCTATGTGGTATTAAGCTGTTAATTTCTAGTACTTAAGCGTGCAGATGCTTAACTGGAACCTTGCCTTCCACTCTGCCTCTAAGGCAATATTCCCACCACTGTAACACTGCCTATTGTATGCCTCACTCTAATTTTTAAACTATTTTTAAGTCTGAATGTCAACCTGAGTCCTCTCTCTGTTTCAGATGTTTGTCATTGAAGTAAAGATTAAAAGTGGTGGCAGATACCTGATTTTCCGACGCTATCGTGAGTTCTATGCCCTACACACCAAACTAGAGGAGAGATATGGGGGGGAGAACAAGAATAGCCCTTTTAGCTGCACACTCCCCGTATTGCCAGGTAAGCTGTGAGTAGCAAATCTGCACAATTAGTAGCTTTGTCCTTTCTTAGTCTGTCCTTGCGAGGAGGGCGTTGTATGGAAGTACGCAAGATAGCTATCTGGGACAAAGAATTAGTTCCCAGCTGTGGAAATTAGAGAAGTCAAGGCCATTGATGTCCCTCCGCAATGTGGTAAAATTCATATGGAAACCTAAAATCCTTTAGAAAATATCTATTTTCTTGGAGTTCCTGCTTTCTCTTAATTGCATTATTTCTCTGACAGCTTCCTTTTTTTTTTTTTTTCCCCTTCAATAACTGCCACTGGTTTTATGTTTCCTAGGGAAAGTTTATGTTGGGCTCAAACGGGAAATTGCTGAGAACAGGATTCCTATCCTAAATATCTACATGAAGGTAAAACTTTGTTATAAGATAGAGATAGCACTGAACACTGCAGATACTTTACCCCTTGAAATCAACAGAAAGAGATGTTACTGTTATAGTCCTTCATATCTGCTGCTCTCTGCACCTTTTTTCAGAAGACACAGTGTCCACACCACGGGACAATCTGCAATCCTAGTCGCCAGATTGTTCAGACTGTAGGGATCCATTGGAATACGCACTCCACAAAGGAAGTGAAAACCTGCCTTCATGTCTAGATAGATATATTTACAAAACAAACAAACAGGATGTGTTTGGTGAATCTTAGGTGAATCTTAGGATGTTGCATGAATACGGGGTTAAGTTCACCTAAGGGATTAGTAAAGCAGAGTGAGCTTTGGAATATACCTGCTTCACAGTCAGGATAAAGCCAGCAACTTCAAGGTGAGAAATTATTGACTGCAGGTTAACGGGAACTCTGACTTTAAATCGGTAATGGTCTGAAGCATAGGTCAAGTCTGCCAGTACTTAAGATTGCCCTCTTTCCACAGTCATTCATGTTCTGAAAGGAAACACAAAGGAAACAATTTACTCCTGCAGTAAATCAGGCACACAAAGAGTGAAGCAATATGTTGGCCAACCCTAAGAGTAAACAGGAGAAACTGTCAGCTGTTCAGCCTAGTCCTGCTGAGGGAAAAGGGAGAGGAGGAAGATTTTTCTGGCAGCAATAGTGATCTTGTAGATCAGAGAAGCATATTTGGTACATGCAAATAAATAGAGAATTGATCTTTCCCACTGTTATTACTCCACTTCCTACTTGCTCTTGGCACAGAACCTACTCTGCCTACCTGTTTGGGTGTTGATGGATGAAGAGGTGCGTCTGTTCTTCTACCACTCCAATTTTGATAGTGAACAGGTGCCCAGAAGGCTGAGACGACTTCGCCCACGGACGCGTCGAGTGTAAGCGATTGACATGTTTTTTTCAGTTTGATGTAGGAGATGCTGTCCAGTTTTGTGAGGAAAGAGAACTGATGATCATCACTGTGTTTCCCAGAACAAAGGCAATCCATGAAGTCCTAATATAAGGATTTCTGTGGGAGAGCAAAAGAATGGCATTTCTTGCTTTCAAAAATGTAAAGTTTTTAAAGCGCAGGTGGTATTTCATTAAAAGGGAAATTAAAAATTGATGTTATAGTTTGCTTTTTCAAAAAAAAAAAAAAAAAGCTCCCTAACCATTGATAATTCTTTAGAGGTAATATCTTGTGGTTTTAAGTTGAAGGAAGGAAGATTTAGATTGGATGTCAGGGGGAAGTTCTTTACAGAGAGAGTGGCGAGGTGTTGGAACAGGCTGCCCAGAGAGGTTGTGGATGCCCCGTCCCTGGAGGTGTTCAAGGCCAGATTGGATGGGGCCCTGGGCAGCCTGGTCTAGAATTAAATGGGGAGGTTGGTGGCCCTGCATGTGGCAGGGGGTTGGAGATTCATGATCCTTGAGGTCCCTTCCAACCCAAGACATTCTATGATTCTATGATTCTATCTATTATAATGTTCAGGCCAAGCATAAGGATGCAGGCTTGCAACACTAAAGTCAATGTGAGTTTTGACACCAAACCAAATAAGATCTGGTTCAGACAATAAATGAAACTGAATATTCAGTCTGTTCTTGTCTTTTGTCTGAATACAGGTCTGTCTTACATGCCAGTGTCAGCACCCTTTGCTAAGTAGATGTTGTACCTCATTACCCTCCACAGAAATTAATTTGCTTTTCAACACAGAAAAGATGGACTTTCTTCCTTTTCACTTTCCCCAAAAGGTGCAAAACCTGTGAGTGTGTATGCATTCCTGAGTGTATGTATGACAGCAGTTTGAACTGAGTGCCATAAATGCTAGAAACAGAAATGCCCAGAAGGTAGAGTGGAGCAGCTGAGCAATGCTGTAAAAGACAGGTCCAGCATACTGACTGTATTGAAAATTCCATCTGTTCTCAGCAGCAGACATCATCAGATTGCTGCTGCTCTGCACTGAAACCAGGAGAACTAGGGCAATGTTGTTGCATCCATATTTATTTACTTCCGTGCTGCACGCAGTCATGCACTTTCTCCAGTGATCTGTGGCTCGTCTGCATTATAAATAATGATAATGTGGACACTGTACTGATCACGTAGTGTTTCTGATGACTAAAAAGACAAATTTACCTCCCTGTTTTCTCTTTCCAGTAAAAGCATTTCATCCCAACTGCCTGTTTTGGACCGTGTAACAACTCCTCGGGCTGAGGTGAGTAATTCGCACAATCTGTCATTGAGGACAGAGATTAACTCTGTTTTGCTCTGGTATCTCTTTGATCAAGATGCCTTTTCCAATTAGAGCTTTGGGAAGAGAGGGAAAGTGAAATCGACACAGGAAAGCAATTGCTTTTAACAATAAGGAATGAAACACAGAATGGAAAGAAGGGCTCTGTTCCTCGTTACATAAATAATAAGAAGGGCTGTTGTGAAGTCAGAATAACAGGAGATTCAAAACTGAGAGACATGTACTGCCAAATGGTCCACATTTACATAGTTACACCCATAAATTACATTTAAAGCAAACTGAAGCTTCGGTCTCATTGAATTCAGCATATGTTTGAAAGCTTTGCAAGTGAGGCATCCTGGCAATTTATGTAACATTAGAGTTCTACTGAAAGTGCCTGTACTCTTCTCTTTTGCTGTAAATTGTCTTGGTATTAGACACATACAACTACCTTGCAAGTGGTGCTTGTGGACTTGCTTTCCGGAACACGTGACTTTTTCACGTAATGTTAATAAAAAACATGCAATTGCTTTGAGGTTGTTTTGTTTCTATGCTGACGATAACAGCTGTCAGATCTGCCCATATCTCTTGGGTTTTATGTATTCTTTTATTAATATTTAATCTACCTACCAAAACTTTTCGATAGATCAAAGAAAAGCTTTTGAAGGAGCTATTAAATAGACATATGAACTGCTAGCATGATAGTTATTGTCTCTTTTTATTAGGAGAACCGTAAAAGACAGCCTTTAGAGGCTCTGAAATTTGGCATTAACAAGACCAAAAGAACCATCACAACACTGAATAATAGGGAACATCTTTTCATTTTTGCTCTTCTAAGAGCATTTAAATGACTGCTGTGTTCTCAAAGGACAATGGGTAGATGCGTGTTTTTGATAACTCAGCAATTTTAATTATTCAAGAACAGCTTGTTAAGATGGTGGAATATGTTTGCCTCTTTTTTTTTTTTTTTTTTTTTTTTTTTTCCTGAAGGGGGCATCTAAGTTCCACTTTAACCACACATTAGTTTCATGGACTTTCCCAAATCTCTCAGTTCAGCACACAGGCCTGAAAGCTAGGTGTAGAAAGAACATTTAGTTACCTTTAAATTAGGACACAATTCCAAAACTCCCTAAGGCTCTTTGTGACATTTTGCAGCAAATCACAAAGCTGTAAAACTACAGAAATAATACATTTTTGGTTTGATTCTCAGGATTTCAAGTTGTCAAGATTTCAAGCTGTCAATCGTTTTCAACTCTGCTGACTTACTTGCTTTAATGTGTTTTCAGTGTCTTCAATTCTCTGGTGCTCCATGTCCTGACACTTCTAGAATCGTAGCATGTAGTCCTTTCAGAGCCACACTTATCCCGATGCTCTCACTACTCCCACAGAGCATTTCTGTGTGTGCAGAGCAGGAGAAGGAATTGTGAGAACTGCACACTGCAGTCATTTATGTGACCTTAGTTCAGAAATAGATCTGCGCTGACAAAGTGCATGCTATTCTGCTGCTTACCTTCTGTCTGTGCACTTCAGGAGCAGATTAAAAAAAAATAATAATAATCACATGTATAACTGTGAATTAATAATTTCAGTGTTATTGCTTTCCGTAGGCACTATTTGATTTCTCTGGAACCAGTAAACTGGAACTCAGTTTCAAGAAAGGAGACTTGATCTACCTACTTAGCAGAGTAAACAAAGACTGGTTGGAGGTAAGGCTGTGGCAGTGGTACTGAATTATTGGCATACCTTTACATGAGTAGAAAGGGGCTTTCCTAGTCCTTGGGATCTTTCTCCTTCTTTCAAGGGGAAACTGTATCATAATTGTGTGTCACAGCCAGGAAGAAATCCTTGACTCCATATTTGAAATTGTTTTCTCCTGTAATGGTTTTTAGCTTACAAATTTCCTGCCCTCTACACTTCAGTTTTCATTTGCATTTTCTTCTGCTGGAATGTCCTTTAATTCTTTGGAAGTGATTAGAGCACAAAAAGGCCACAGAAAGGAGATGGAAACTCCATTTCAGCGATTAATTGGTTTCTTGCCTTGGGGTGAGTTGCTATATACTTCATGCTTCATACCGCAACACACGTCAGCTTAATTACAGAGAACTTGGGCAATGCAGCAGTGTTCTGAAAAAAGGATGAGGAGAACATACTGTGTGTTTGTTGATATGGCATCTCTGCTTGCTCGAACACCACAGCATTCCCTAGTAACCATCTGATGTTCATTTTTTTTGCACTCAGTTTCACTCATCTGCCTTTTTTTGGACTATGCAATTGTGTAATCCTTGTGTAGAGATAGCGTAAGGTCACTCCCATAGTCTGTCTTTTCTTGCTTATAGAAGAACAATTCTTACTGTTGTTTCCATGGTAATTAATTAAATTTCAGAACTTATCACACGTAGCCAAAATTGCAAGTTTTTCTTCATGCTAACCCTTCCTGTAATTCCAGGGAACAGTTAATGATGCCACTGGGATTTTCCCATCTGCTTTTGTGAAGATCATAAAAGATTTACCACAGCAGGAAGACACAGTTAATAAAATACGCTGTTATTACTATGATGAGACAGTAAGCACTATCAGGTAATAATAAAATAGTCTTCCCGGCTTCTGCTGAAGAGATGCCAATATTCTGTTTCATGATATGCAATTATTAGATTTATCTGTGTTACAGGGATATATCAGTGGAAGAGAATCTGAGCAGCATTCCATTATTCAAAGATCTTATGGAACTGATAAAGTAAGTGGAAGCAGCTGGATGCCTATTTAATATCATTTGTCAAGTCCCTTCCAGTCCTAAATTTTCTACATTTTACTTGGCCATCACCATGTTTTGGATGTGAAACTCTTTTCAAGTGTTTCACTTAAGAGTGTGTAATGTGATTTGGCTGAGGCCCATCTGTGCAGACAGCAGTTTGCTTTGGGATTGTCAGCAAGTGTTGCATGCCACACACAAATGCCACACATGTTCTGGGCAGCATTTTCTATTTCTTGCTGTAAGATCAGAACCATGCTCCCAACCAAGGGTCTGTTGTCTAATATACTTGTTTAGGATGCAGGACATTACCTTATAATTTGTAAAACCAGTGTTGAAATAGTTTGAAGTAGCACTGAACATCAAAACGTTAGAATATTGAATATCAGTATAGTGATATGTGTAAATATTCTTCCATTCCTTAGCCTGCCCTTCTCTCATAAAAGGGAACAGCAAGCAGGCAAAAGTGGTGAGTAACCACAGTCAACTCATATGTATGGGAATTTTTTCCAGCTCACAGAGTAATCATGCTGTGCACATGGACTTACTGGAGATGGTTCTGTCAGGCTTCTTAGCTTAAATATAACCCAGCATGAATGTGTCTGTAGAATTTTTAGTACTAGCTGTATTAAGAATGCCAAAACACCCAAGGCTTAATGTGACTTTTAGAAAAATTAATTAGATTGCCTGTATATCGTTCATCATGCGTCACCTCCCAGGCATTCCTTGACTTGTGGAAATCAATTCATTTCTTTTCTACCAGGCAGGAGTTTGACCTACATGACATTGTTTTGAATTACCGGGACCTCGATGGCGATCTGATCCGGCTGCTCTCTGATCAGGACGTTGAACTCATGGTGTCTCAGAGCAAGAAGAGGTCTGCTGAGAAGCATTTCTTCCCTTGGAAGTTGCACATCACTCACAAGGATGACTTCAGTGTCTACAGCACTAGTCCAGGAATAGGTGATACACAAACAGTTAGGGCAACATGAGTGCTGTAGGGTAGCAGTTCCAGTAGGTAGCTACATCATCCCTCAGGAATCCTTCTCTGCAGACAGTTTCTTTTAACAAGGCTTTGAACAGAGCTTGAAAAGAGTCAACTTCCCTTTCAATGTAAAATCTGTGCTTAGCTTTTTGAGCTGTTTAGCACTTCTCTGTAACAGAGATATCTTTATGCAGACCAGGGAACGAGAGGAATAGAGAAGTAAAATTACTGGATTTGTTCACAAAGCAAGCCAGTGTTACGCTGCAATAAATGTTGAGTGTCCTGAGCCCAAAATCTGCTCTAATCTCCATCCTTGCTTCTAGAGCCAATTACTTGCCCAGAGTGTTTTCATAAGCTTTTATTTTATTTATTTTATTTTGTCCCTGACTGCAGTTCTGGAAGCATGAAGAAAACTTTATTTCAGCAAAGAAATTACAGCCTGGTTTTGCTTTCTTCTTTCCTTTGGCCCATATTTTGAATTCTGTAAATCAAATCTAGTATACTTGCAGTGTTACTTATTGACTTCTCATAATTGTACAGTCTATTTGCTTCCACATTCTGGGATAAGTGATGTGATACCTGTCCAAGTAGTAATCTCTTCTTGGTCTCTCTTCTTCTGCTTTCTAACCCCTCACAGCAAAACAGAACTAACAATAAATGACTGCATCAGATTTTTCCATAAATAAACTTATGCATGTGTTTATTTTATCAGTTTCTGTTACATTTTTAAATTTTTATTTTTGGAGGGGGTGAAATAATGCTCTTTTAATTGATTAGTTAATTAATTTTGTTTAAGAAGGGAACTTGGAGAAAGAATTTAAATGTTACCTATTTAGCTTTTCTTAAGCAGGAGTTTGTTATTTAAAAAAGCCCCAAACCTTCTGGTCTTTTATTTATGCATATTAAATAAATAAATTTATGCAATTAAAATGTTCTTCTTGAACAAATTTATTGCTGCTTGCTAGAATAAGAAGTTACGTATGCTTTATGTAAATCCTAGAATACCTAAAATACTGTATTATAAAAATACCATGCAGTCATGGTGCTAAAAGGATACCACCATGCGTAAATATAATCAGGAAGAAGTATTGTACTTTAGATTCATTTCTTAATTTCTGTGGCATTATACTATACTTCCCCACTGAACCTCCCCCACTTACGTGTAGCTTTACATTAGTGCATATTTGTGCTGTAAATAATTAATTTATATTGAAAGGCAAGCATTTAGTTTCCTTAATTGAGATCAGTAAATTTCTTACTTGATTCTTTATAAAGTATATAGATCCAGCAATATATTACATGTGTACAGACCTGTATAAGAAAATACTCCTTTTCCAAAGCACTGTTACATGCTGCAGGACACATCTGCTTTTCAGGCTCAAAAGCTCAATCTGAAGAACCCACGCATGTTCAATTTCAGTGCTAGATTATCTATCACAGAATTGTGAGGGTTGGAAGGGACATCTGGGTATTGTCTACTCCAACCCTCTGCTAAAGAATCTTCTCTACATTGAGCCTACAGTAGGCAGCTTTCTTAGGGAAGAAGCCAGGCAGATTTTTAATATCTCTGTAGAAGGAGATTCCACAACCTTTCTGTGAAGCCTGTTCCAGGGTTCTGTCACTCTCACAGTAAAGTAGTTTTTTCCTCGTGTTCATATGGAACGTTCCATGTTGCAGTTTGTGCCCATTGCCCCCTTGTTCTGCCACTGCACAGCATTGGGAAGAGCTTGGCCCCATTTTACTCCCACTCATTAGATATTTACACGCAGTAATGAGATGCCCCCTCAATCTTCTGCTCCCCAGTCTGAATAGTCACAGGGCTCTCAGCTTTTTCTCATAAAGGAGGTGCTCCAGGTCCCCATCATCTTGGTGGCCCTCCCCTGGTCTCTCTCTAGAAGTTTCCTGTCTTTTTTGAACTGGGGAGCCCAGAACTGGACACAGCACTCCCGATGTGGCCACAACAGGGTAGAGGAGTGAGGGACAAGAACTTCCCTTGACTTGCTGGCCATGGTTTCTGTAACGCACCCTAGGATGCTGTTGGCCTTCTGGGCCACAAGGACACACTGCTGGCTCATGGCCAACCTGTTGCCAATCAGCACATCCAGGTCCTCTCTACAGAGCTCCTCTCCAGTAGGTCAGCCCCTCACCTGTATTGCTGCAGGAGGTTATTCTTCCCTACGTGTAGCACTCTGCATTCCTCTTTAGGTTTCTCATCAGGTTCCTCTTCTTCCAACTCTCCAGCCTGTCCAGAGCTCATTGAATGGCAGCACAGCCTTCTGGTGTGTCAGCCACTCCTTCCAGCTTTGTATCATTAGCAACCTTGCTGAGAGTGGACTGCATCCCTTCATCCAGATCATTGACAAAGATGTTGAACAAGAGCAGGCTCTTCCCTGTGGAGAACATCACTAGCTACAGGCCTCAGACTAGACTTTGTGCTGGTGATCATGATTCTCTAAGATACTCATGAGAGACACAGATTGTCATCTTTTTTTCCAGTGATGTAAGATTTTGATGGACATTATTTTATCAAAATGTTATAAACTGTAACTTCTCACTTTTAAGGCAATGTAGCAATAGGGTTTGGGATGGAGATGAAATGACATGCAATGATAATGTTAATAATCTTGCATTGTGTGATATTCAAGAGAATACATTGTAATTTGAAAACTAATTGGCAAATGTGCATGTAAAAGTTCTGGCATGCAGGAACACAAGTTATTTGTGTAAGGAGTTCAACAGGGCTAATAATATCTGAAGGTTTTCGTGGGCAGCTAGATGCTAGTGTAACCAGAGGCTTATCAAGTCTGTTTGAAGATGGAGGAGCTGAGGAAGAAAAGAAAGGAATAATGTCTTCTGGAAAACAAGAAATCTATTTTCTATGGGTAGAGGAAGAACCATAAAAACTTACTGGCCTTTGAAAGTCAGTGCAGGAGAATAGTTTTCTGCATTTGTACCGTAATGCAAAGTAAATTCTGCTCTTCCAGTAGAGTAATGTAACTACAGCTTTTATATGAACACATCTTAGTAGTCAAAATGACACAGTTTCCTCAGATTCTCTCACAACCTCCTAGCTCTGTACTTGCTTCCCTTATTCAAGGAATATATATTTTTCCCCACTGCACACTGAAGTACGTAAATACGTTATATAGCTAAATCTGCAAAGTATGGTTTTGATCAGAGTTTTATGGTCTAGTGGCAGTGCAGAACAAATAGACTTAGGAGTCCTCTTCTGTTTCTGGGGACTCATCTCAGCCCCCTGAAGTTTACCCATAGAGTGCAAGCCTGAGTTTTTTTCACAGAACCACAGAATGGTTGAAGGAACTTCTGTAGATCATCTAGTCCAAAGCCCCACTGAAGCAGGGACACAGTCCATGGTACGATGATAGATGACACAGTACCAGAAGCACAAAATCCAGAACCACGTCCAGGTGGATTTTTAAGATCTCCAAGGAGGAAACTCCACAGCCATTCCGGGCAACCTTTGCTGGTGCTCCATCACCTGCACAGTAAAGAAGTGCCCTCTGATGTTCTGACGGAACCGCTTGTGTTCCAGTTTGTGTCTGGCACTGGATATCACTGACAGGAGCCTGGATCCATTCTCTTTGCATCCTGTCTTTAGTTATTATACACATTGATGAGGTCCCCCCTAAGCCTCCTTTTCTAGAGGCTGAACGGTTCCAGCCCTCTCAGCTTCTTCACACAGGAGAGATGCCCCAGTTCCTTCATCATTCAATTAGAACTCAGTAGGGACTGTTCACAACCCTCTTCTACCAGTACTACAATCACTAACACGTGGATTAGCAACGACATATTTCCTTCCTAATTTAACAGTTCCATCTAAGTAAGTACTTTGGGGCTTAAAATAGGAAGTACAGAATGCAGTTACAGGCAGCTGCTTTCCCTGAAAGGGTGTGGTCTGCTTCTTAGAAATTGGCATTTCAGTGTATAGCAGGTATATAAAAAGTATAGTACTTATTTTAAAGACTTAATTATCAGGAAAATCTTGTCATTTATAGATTCCTTTGCAGGGAAGCAGCTGGTTGCTGCATCAGAAGATTCTCACACTGCTGGGGAAGCTGAACAGTGAGGGTCATCCATCAGGTTTTATCATCTGCCTCACAGACAACTCTGGATGCAGGTAAGGGAACTGCTTCATTCTGGAGAAGGCAAAATAGCAGTCTTCTATCCTGGAAAGTCTTGAGAGCTCTTAAGGGAAAGCTTTGCAATGATTATGCGAGGGCTCATACCGCTGTTTCTGGTGTCAATAAGCAACATTTAGGAATCTGAAAGTCAACAGAGATTTAAAAGGAGATCTCTCCATGTTCCTCTACAGTAGAAAAGAGCTAGAGACTGCATGTTCCCTGAGTACACGGGTCTCAGCTCTGTATATTTATCATACTTTGGAGAAAGCAGTGAGAGATGGCCAGAAGAGCTAGTATTCTGGTACCAAAGAATGTGGGCCATAGTCTTTGAACTTCTCTATGTACTCTAGATCTTGACAGCCCCCAAAAGAAGAGAAATAATTTGTTTGAAATTGTTGCTAAAATTTGCAGCTTGTCTGGGGAGTAGCTGGAGCAGTTGCATGCTGAAGAGAAACCTGAAAGCAAATGAGTACAGCAATTCAATCACAAACTAAGGAAGTATGTGGTGGGGAATAAGTCTTTATGAAAAGCAAGAAAAGGAATTAACTTGGGGGTTCATTAAAAAGAATATAAACATAAAGAAGTTAAGGATGAAAGAATTTGCAGGTTGACATTATTCACAGGATAGGCCACTTTCTGATTAGTTCTAGCTGAAAGAATTCCTGTGCTTCCTTAGATATACGCATTTTTACTTCTTCATTCTTTGCTCATGTTGCAGGAAAAAGAAAACTGGGTTTTTGTCTGTCAGTAAAGGCTTTGTAGACATTCTGTCTGAATTTTTACGAAGTAAATACGTGGAAGGAGGTCTTTCTGAATGTCACTCTGTAACAGTGCAACGCTTTAAGTTCCCTAATTCAGTTTTACTTCTCTTTACATGAAATGAAAACAAGAAGCTCCACAACAAGACAAAAGAAGAGTGGGCAATGAAAACGTTTATTTTTAATGAAAACACAATTTCGAAGGACAGTGTAAAGATGAAAGGGTTTTTCATCTTTTTGCTAAATCTGTCATTGGCCTTCAGTGACCAAGCCATTAATGGTGAGTTTCGGATTTATAATTTCTTTTATTTGACTCCTGCCTTTTTCCTCTCTTCTTTGTACCTGACTCACTCTTCCCCATTTTCTACTTTCTTTTGCTCCTATCCTCTCTGCTGTAGGACAACAAGCATTCTGATCAAAAGCAGTCAGTTTGTGGCAGGTGCAGGTGCTGGTGCAGACAAATAGGTGAGAGTATGGAAATTGGTTGCAAAGAAGTCCCACAGAGATGAAATAATCAGCACATCCCCACTAACTGTGATATTCACTATGCCCAGAAAGCTGTTTCTGCCTGGAAGTGATACTTTGGCCAGAAACATGTCTTGCAGGCTCAAAGGTCTCGCTTCACCGTTGTTGTACTTTGGCTTGACTCTTTGGTATTGTGGAGATGTGGGGAAGGAACACAACTTCAAACATATTTTCACCAAGGGTCATTATTTGGTGCCATCAGAAGAGTGCTGTTCTTGACGCCTTTCCCATTCTGATGGCAGAATCACTGTCCTTCCTGCTAGCTCTCACTATTTCCATTTGT